ACACTAAAAATTCATGGCGGGCAAGTCTGCTCAGTCATAGTTACGGTAGGGCAGGGCTGGTGCACAGAGAGAGGCCGGCAAGAAGCCACGCTAGCAGCGCCACGTGACCCCTTCTGAGGATGGGTCCAGACGCACGCTGTGTGTGACCGAGCCTCCCAGCAAACTAGGAGAAGCTCACCTGGGAGCACAGAAGGCCGATCATCGGCAGGTGGTTCCCCAGACCTGTCACTGCCGTGCACCTGAGAGGCTGGACTGAACAGCACACGGCTGTCGGGAAGAACACGAGGCTTCTCTACAGGGTCAGCCCTCGGGCTCTGCAGACCACTTCCCCTCCCACTTGGAGGACGGCCTGCCCTCTCCCAGGCTGCCCGTCTGTCCAGCCCCGAGCTTGGCTGGGTGCAGGCTAGTGCTGACTTTGTGGAGCAGGTTAGGAACTGTCACTGCAGATCTGTACCTTCCACCGCAGACAGGGCTTCGCTCCCAGGCACCTTCATCGGAGGGCTGTTCACAGGGTGTGGAGCTCGTGGGAGAACCAAGCACCTGCCGAGTTGCTGCCAGGCAGGTTGGAGGCAGACCCCCAGGCTGTCATTAGCCACTCACTGGGGGGCGGCGGCGTAGTCCCTACCCTCCAAGCTGACTCTGCCCTGGAAAACCACGCAGTGCCGGTCATACTGAAGCCAGCCCTGTCTGCTTCACAAATGAGGAAGAAGAGCTTTGTGGGCAAAGGTGAGGAAACTTGTGGAGAACTCCCAGGCCCTGTGCCCTCTCTGGTTTTCTCTCTGCAGCTCCGAAGGTCTGGGAGCCCGCGTCTTCTAGGAAGGTGCCTCAGTGCGAAAGCAGGGCTGCGACCCCTACTGGGTCCCCTGGGTCCCCTGGGACCCACTACATCTCAGGGCAAAGGCTGCAGGGTGGGAGGGAACCGGCCTAAGACCAAACCGATTTTCACACGGACGCAAAATGCAGAGCAACCCTCCGACTTCAGGCTGGCGCTCTGGGCCCGGCCGGCCGAGCACAGCCGCACAGCCACAGTGGTGACTGAGGCTCCGCCCCGTTGGCAGAGCAGCAGCCACGGCCCTGGACCAGGTGAGCCGGGAAGTGCCGAGACCCCGACTCAGCCTGAGGCCCTGTACGGCAGGGGCCTGGGCCGAGGCCTGATGCGGCAGCGCTATTCCTTACGACGACCCAAGGAGAGTGGGAGGCTGTCCTCACCTCGAGCACAGCATGTGTGTCCAGGGCGTGCTCACCCAAACCCTGGCCAGGGCCCAGATCTGAAGACTGACTACGAAGGTTCAAACGAGCCACAGGGTGGGCAAGGCTGGGAGAGAGCGGTCACTAAGCCGTCACACAGAGAGGCCAATCAGCACCGTGTTCTCCTGCCCAAGGCCGACAGACACAGGGAGCACGTGGCCTGAGCCCGGAGGGCTGCTCACTGGACTTTACGAGGGCTCGCCAAGACTTAGCATAAACCAGAGAGCGAAATATCTTATCAACTTTTTTTTTTTTTATAAGATTACATGTTATAAAATAGTATTTTGGACACTGGGTTTAATAGACATGTCATTAAAGCGAATTTCACCTTTTAGCCTTATTTTTAAATCACTTTCACTTTATAGAAATGTGGACACGAGGAACTTGAAGTTGGTTTTGTGACTTGCATGCTATTTCTGCCGGGTAGCACCGGGCCAGCGCTCTGGACCCCAACCCTGGCTGACCCACTGTGTAGCTGGGTGGCGACCGGGGACTCTCAGCAGACTCAGACTGTCTGATGAAATCAGCCCCGCTCCCCTCACAGCTGAAGGGACAGAGGAACACGCCGTCCACACCGTTGGGCAGCACGCCACCCCGTGTCGTTTCCCATCAGGGTGCAAGCTGCCTGTGTGGCCGTGCAGCTGTGACCGCACAGGGTGACACGTGGAAGTGCAGGGCAGATCCCGGTCACTGTCAGGACACCGCGGCACAGCAGCTCGTCTAACACATGCGTGTTACAGTGATTTTCCAAGAGACGGCATCGAGGCGTCTCGAGGAGGGGACGCCTTTTCCTGACCTGAGTGAAGGCTGTAGCTAGGCTTGGGTTGGCCCAGGCAGAGCCAGCGCGTGCCAGGCTCCCCTCTCACTAGCTGCCTGCTGGCCTGCCCCAGGCCCGTCACGTGCCCAGAGCCCACGTGGTACAAACCACTACCGATGGTGGGCGCCGACGAGTTACACTACCCAGCAGGCTCGGGGCCCAGGCTGGCCAGGACGGATCTCCTACCTTCTCATTTTTCTTCTCATCCGGTTTGCACCCCGTGCTGGTGGGGCTGGACGTGGGCAGGCTGCCGGCAGGGCCCCCTCCAGCCTCTCCGCCCAGGTTGGCGGCGCTGACGTTGGGTGGTGTGATGGCTGAAGCTGCAGATGAGAGGGGGATGGCTGGCCGGGTACACGCCTGCAGCGGGGGCTGGTGGGCCTGCTGTGGGGACACCGTGGAGTGCGGCCTGAGGCTGGCGGCAGGCAGGCGGGATGGAGAGTTCTGAGTGCGCAGGGGCGACACGGTGGCGGTCGGTCGGTCTTGGGCCGGGGTGGAGGGGTGGGCGGCTGGAGCGTGGGGTGGAGAGAGAGTGGTGGAGAGGTTAGTTTGCCACTGGCTGCACGGTCCAGTGCATGCCCAGCCCAAGCCACTCTCTCGGTCTCCGCAGACCTGGCCATGTCGCAGTCCCCCATTTTGCAGACAAACAAATGGAGGCCAAGCACCCTAAAATGAATAGCCATCTTTCCCAACCCCAGGGAGCCCTGCCGCTTCGCTCAGGCCGAGCCGAGGGAGCTTCCTGTTGCGAGTGTGGACGCACGCCCAGTTCATGGTGCAGGCCTGTTTTCCCTGCCGGTTTCTAAAACACCCTGGTAAACGCTCCCAGAAGGAGAGTCCGGGAGAGCACCCAGGCAGACACTCCGCATTGCAGGGCACCATCGCAGCCAGCCCTGACCTAGGAGCAGCCCGGCCAGTCCTTGCTTTTCACATGCACCTGGCCCGGCCCAGAGCTGGGAGGCGGCTTTGCCTGGTGACAGTTGCAGGAAGAAAGCGCAGCATTTCCTGGGGCAGCCTTGAGGGGAAGCTAGCCGCATCCTGCCCCAGTCAGCCTGCAGTTGTCGCCTGCCTGCAGGTGGAAGGCCCAGAAGTTCTGGCACAGCTACCACCCCCCCTCGCTGCCAGCCAGCGGCACTTCTTAAAGAAGTTCAGGATCCAACGAGATAACATTTGTAAAAATCTCCACTTGAAGATGTAAAAGCTCCCTTAAACACGACAGCCCGGGAGAATCAGGGTGCTGTCCTTATTTGTGTTAATGCTGAACCAGTCACTTCCCTGCTAAATACAGACAAAATAGGAGGGAGGAGGGGACCATCACCAGGGTAACAGGACGTGGTGGTCCGACCCAGGCCGGGGCTCAGGCACCACGCAGCTCGGAGCAGGCGTGGACGGCGTCATGCCAGGGAGGTGAGCACGTCACGCTGTAATTATTTTCTCCACCAGATTGTTTGCATTCGTGGCTCAGAACACGAACAAAATACACACGATAAAGACCACATTCTCGGCCCCCACGTGTGCCTTGAATATGCAAGTGCTCTCCATGGGGGCTTCGCCATGTGGGAAGTCATCGCACACCACACACAAAGCCCTCCCATCGCCAGGCTGTGTGGGAGGAGCTGGCCAGATCTAATTATGTGATTGTGACTTGCTGGGACTCGAAAGGCCTGCTGTTTCTATGAGAGACATACAGAAAGGCTGATTTATGTCTTTGAAAAGTTTTTTTTTTTAAATTTTTAAAGTATTTTCACTGTAGAATGAAATGTACATTCTGGGTTTCAAATGGGTCCAGAACCTACAGCATTTAAGTCCTTGCCCCACATGGCTCATATTTAAAGGCCGAGCAAGTGAGACAATTACACGGATGGAGAAGCCACCCGGGTCACTCAGTCACCCATAACCCTGACTCGAACGGCTGCTCCTCGGCAGACTCATTCGCCTGTCCCGGCAGTCTGAACTCTCCTTCACCCCAGCCCCTCAGTCCCTCAGCCCCTGGCCGGGAAATGATGGCCCGCCGGGAAGAGCGATTACACTGGCCTCCAAGCCTCAGTCTCCAGGGCTGCCGGGGTTTCCTGCCTGGGAACTCTGCCTGGCTCTCTACTCCTGGCTAGCTTCCACACAGCCGTCATCACCAGGCTAAGCCAGATGCGAGGAAGAGGATGCTCCAAAAGTTCCAGATTGCCTTCCATGCCATACCATCTCCTCACAGCCTCCCCTTGGCCTCTCTGGCTTCTTGGCTGCACCCCACGCAGGATGGGCTCTCTCCACCTCACAGAGCAGTGCTGGCCGGTCCTGTCCACAGAGCGCACTTCTCCCTGCCAGCGGCAATGTGGGACCCTGAGTGCCCCAACCAGCTCAGAGGGTGCCTTCTAGGGGGTGTGACCTCCTGACCACCTTCGTGGTGCAGCCCTCCCTCCTGACCACCTTCGTGGTGCAGCCCTCCTGCTGTGAGCGCATCCTCTCTTGATCTAGTTTTTCTTTTCCTCCAAGGCACTTAGTGCCTCTTAATTGTCTGTATAATTTTCCTGCAGATTTTGCTGAATGTTCAGTCTGTTGCCCCCCCCTACAATGTGAATTCCTTGAGGATACAGATTTGGACCATTTAATTCACTCATCTAATTCATTCTAAACCTTTGGAATGGTGCCTGGCATGTAGTAGGTGCTCAATAAATCTTTGAACGAGTTAGTGAGTCTTTGGGAAAAGGGAAGTCCAGCTATAACATCACCACAGACTTCACAGAACCGAGCCAGTGGAGGAAAAAATGCTCTGTGAGGAAGAGAAGCCAGGCTCACTACACAGACTTAAGAGTTTCTGGAACCCATTGATCTTAGGTGGGATTCACCCTTGATTTCATTCACCCTGTGCCCGCAACCTCTGCTGGCCTAGACCAGTATCCCACTAGAGATCCCTCTAGATATAATAGCAATGCCAAAGGAGTCCATGCTTTCTTTGATGTCATACCACCAACGGCGACTGTTGGGGAAAACGAGATTCCGAAGTCTCTGTTACCCCTTTGCTTCTTCAAACCTTTGATATGCTTCAATAACTCTGTATCCTCCTGGGTCCTGTTAGTCCCTGTTTAGTCCACCAGTACGTCCTCAGGAAATAGAATGGTATATGACATCCAGTCGGTGCTTTATAAATACTATCAAGTCTTTCAGGTTAACTTGTCTCCTGATTTATCCGTTTCCCTCCCTCCAGTCTCAAAGACACAGGATCCTAACCAATCAACCCCTTCTCCATTATTCTTGATTCCTGCTCTTGATCCATCTCCTTCTCTGCATTTAAACCTTCTTCTAGCTTTTCCCTCATGATTTATTAACCAAGGTAAGTCTCTTTCATTTAAGAAGTAATCTTATGTCTATGCTGTCTTCTTTTTTTACCTAGTACCTCCCTTTCCCACTTGTCTTTATGACTCAGACTTTTGAAATAGCATATGTACTGGCTCTTTCTCTCATTTTTTTCTCATTTCTTTCTAAGTAATCTGTATTTGTTCTCTGGCAGCTTTCATAGTATTTTTCCTTATCTTTTTATGACTATAGTTTATGTACAGTAGATTTAGTTGTGGATTTATTGTTATTTTTTCCTACTCAGCACTGCTGTGTGAGGACTTGTGACTTTCTTCAGTTCTGGGGAATTCCCGGTGATAATTTATTTGAATCTTTTCTCTTCCCCACCCCTCTATTTTCAGGTTCTGGAAATCCTATTAGAAGTAGTTTGGAGTACCTTGGTCTTTCCTCTATGTTTATGATACTTGTTCATATCTTTCCTTACTGCTTTGTGGTCTAGATAAATTCCTTTGTACAGCTTTCTACTTTCACTAATTCCACCTTCAATGGTGTCTGGCCCTCAAACTTCATTACTCTTTTTCAAGATTCTTTTGACTTTTCTAGGACATCTACATGCTTATATGATTTGAGAACTAGATTGTCAATTTCTACAAAAAAGTTGGATGGGATCTTGATTGGTATTGAACCCATGGGTTAAGGTTTATAGAATAAAATTTTTTAACAGTGTTGTCTTGTCACTCACAATGTGTAACTTTTTAAGAACTTCTTTAATTTTTCTTGGTAATGTTTTCTTATTGAGAACTTCTTTAATTTTTCTTGGTAATGTTTTATAGTTTTCAGTGCACAGGTTTTTCCTATCTTTTGTCAGATTTATTCCTATGTAATTTCTACTTTTCAATACTATTAAATTTGGTATAGTTTTTAAAGTGTCAACATTTGGTTGTTCTTTCATAGAATACAGACATACAATTGCTTTTTGAATATTGATCTTCTATCCTACAACCTTGCTAAATTCACTTTTTACCTCTAATAATGTATGTGTGTGTTCCTTAGGGTTTTCTGCATATGAGAGCATGTCATCTGAAAATAAGATAATTTTACTCTTTCCTTTGTCATCTGTGTCTTTTATTTCTTTTTATTGACTAATTGTCCAGTACAAAATTGAATAGAAGAGGCAAGAGCAGACATCCCATCCTGTTTCCGATCTTAGAGAAGAAGCTTTTATTATCTTGCCATTAAGTATGATGTTAGTTGTAGATTTTCATACATAGTCTTTACCAGGTTGAGGAAGTTCACTTCTGTTCCTTACTATTATGCTTTTTAACTGCCAAAGGGCAGGCATGTGTGTGCATGTACAGGAGTAGGAGAAAGAGAAAGAACCTTTCAATTGGGGCACCACAATCCTTTCTCTTCCATTTCTCCATCTCATCAGGATTTTGGTCACACATGCGTATGCTCCCAGTATGTTTAATTTGTCTGGGATTTGAAAAGATGACTTGCTTCTTCGCACAGCCCTTAACTGCTGCACTATAGGGCCATTTATTTCTCATTTTCTGAGAGGTTTTCTGTTTGTTTGTTTGTTTTGTTTTGCTATAGGGTCTGTGCCCTTGTTAGAGAGAAAGAAAATGGGAGAAAGTGAGAAATCATTCTCCAGAGGGTATAGCCATGCTGCAATCCCTTCTTCTTTCTTCTCTTGGGATTTTGAGCACTCATGCACATGTGCCTGGTATATATTTTTTTCAAGCCACTGAAACTTGAACCACACAGTAAGCTGTGTGGGATCCAGCCACCATAACATCTGCATCACTAATCAGAAGTGGATGTTGGATTTTTTTCAAATATATTGTCAGCACCTATTGAAAGAATCATATTATTATCATTACTCACTTTCTTGATAAGGTGAAGTACATTGAATTTCAAATGTTAATCTAATCTTACATTCCTGGAGTAAACCTGACTTGGTCATGATGTATTTTCCTTTATATTTATTGCTGTGTTTGATTTATTAAAATTTGTTTAGAATTTTTACATCTGTGTTTATAAGGAATATTGACCTGTGGTTATATTTTCTTGTAATGACTTTATCTGGTTTTGGTATAAGTGTAATGTTGGCCTCCTAGAAAGAAATAAGTATTCTCCCTTTTTTCAATTTTCTGGAAGAATTTCCATAAATTTGTTGTAATTTCTTTATTATTTGGCACAATTCATCAATGAAGTCACCTGG